GTTTGGGTTTGCCGTCTTATAGGCCAGATCCAAACTGTTTCAAAAAAGGAAGACGATGTTTTTGATTTTTGAAGGGTGAGGAGAAATCTGCCCTCTGCTTTCATAGCTCTCACCCACATGTCAGGCTTAGGATCTTTGGGTGGAAAGAAAGAGCGCTCACTCCGCTCCTTTTGGTAGGTTGCCAGGCATTCTTTCGACAGTTAAAAAAGTGTTGTTGTTTTTTATTTTTGGCGAATAAAACAATCCATTTTTTGTTTTCAGCGATGGTGGTCGCTTGCTGTTGCTCCAGATGACAGACCGTCATCCACATGTGGTAGTTTACCTTTGCCTTTCTGTGGGGGAATCACTTCCAAAGATCTGAAAAGTGGATTTTCTTCTCTGCTTTCAAAACAACAAAAAGACTAATTGTTATTTTATACTTTAGAATTAAAAGAAGAAGACCAACAGGCCAGGAATGGGTAGGGAGTGGAGAGGCAAATATGAAGGGGTGGGAGGGCGAGATGGAGGAAGGGGGTGTTGAGTTGGGGTTTTTGGAATTCGGTCTGTGTTTGGTTTGGAAGCGAAGACCCCGTCTCTGGGCTCTCCAGAGGATAATGGAAAAGAGAGGGAGAAGAAAGAGAGGTTTATAGATGTGTGTATGTGTGTGTGTGTGAGTATGTGTGAGTATGTGTATGCCCTCGCAGGTGGTCGGTACAAGCTGATGGAAGGGGCGTGTCTCCACGTGTCGGGAGGAAACGTGAGCGTTCACTGAACCGCGTCGACACGCCGGCGTTCAGGTGCCGCAGCAAACAGATGGGAGTTGTGATCGTGTCAGAATGGGAGCGCGGAGACACACAGAGGAGGTGAATAAGACATTCCTGAGACGGTGGAGGAGGAGGAGGAGGAGGAGGAGGAAAAGGGGGATGCAGGGAGTCAGTGGTTAGTTGGCGGTTTGAAACTAAGAGGAGAAAAATGACTGCCGGGTCCAGGGTTGGGCCCAAAATTGTTACCACAACCAGCCAGCGAGCCAGGGGGAAGCAGAGGAAAACACAGTCAAAAAAAAAAAAAAGAGTTATATAGGAGGAGAAGCGAAAAAGGGCCTCCTCCTCCTACAGGAGGGCCTGCAGACTCCGTCCTGTGCTGCAGGAGGAGAAAAGAGGCGGGAGCTGTGCTTTTATAGCTGGGCTGAACCCACTGAACCCATCATGTACAAACAGCAGAGAAAGTATGGAAACAACAGAGGCCTGAAGGCCGCAGTCACCCAGGGAGCTTCCAACGATAGGGTTCAGGTTAAGGACCAGGATTGGACATTCGAGAGCAATGACAACAGAGCATCATTGTAGCCCTTTTTAAACAACTTACTTCAACTGATAAACTTCATTTTGCTTTGATTTTGTGTTTCAGTCTACCTTCCTTCATCTGTCAGTGCGTTTATTTGCCTTTTGTCTAATTTTCGAGACTATTTTACTTCCTTCATATTGTTTCAGTACTTGTAGAGTCTTGCCAATATACACACATTGATATATATATATATATATATATATATATATATATATATATATATATATATATATATATATTATATATATATATATATATATATATAAACAACTGTTATCTTCAATTGTTATAAAAATACTGTATTTATCAAAAATGCCTGAAAAAAAAAAAAAAAAAGAGCTGAAAAGAAATTTGACTTGGTAATTTACTCCTTGAAATTGGGCCTCTGTCTCTTTAAGAAGCTCCTGCTCTTTCTGAAACTCCGCCTTCAGGACGTTGTCACAACACGGCTCCTCTATCAACCCTTTAACAACGTTTTCACCAGCGTTGAGCTGAGAAGTCGGTCATATAAAGATGCGCAGTTCCACCAGGCGTTGGTTAATTGGTGCTGGCTGAGGGAGCAGAGCGGGGGAGTTGCAGAAGCTCAGAAGCTTAAAAACTTTAGCTCAGAAAAGGGACTTCATCCTTAAAGGTGAGTATGTCAACGGTTGCCGTGGGAAATTCAAGGATTTCTCAATGAGAGAATAACATTATAACATGATGCAAAGTTCAAAAAACTTGATTTTGCACTTTTATTACTTAAACAACACTGCTGCTTTTTTTTTTCTATGTAGATTTTGGAAGAAGTTTACTTAGGAAAAAATATTGCAAAATTCCTCGCAAGTATTTCTAAAGTAGCACCAAAAAAAAAAAGTCTGTGCTTTAGATGTCACAAAAACCAATCATAAAATTCTGGAGGGATTGCTTGGTGAACAAACCGCCTCCTGAAAACCAAGCAGCAAACAAAACAGGGAGAAAGTTTCAAGCAGAAACAAATGCAAAAACCACTAAAAGAGACGTGGAAACTCTCAGGTGGAACAACATGTTGACAAACCAGCTACTGCCATGCTCTCCACAAAGCTGACTTTCATTGAAGGGTGGTGAAAAATAAAGTATAAGAAATCCCATTTGTAGTTTGCTACAAGCCATGTTGGGGACACAGTGTGATGAGATCAGATAAAAAATTCACCCGAGCCCCACCTCGTTCGACCACTGCTGTCTGTGGAAATGCTTCTCTGAAGGGAAACTGGTGAGAGACGATGGATGGAGCTAAATACAGTAAATAGAGCTGAGAGAGTCCTGGAGGTTCACAGCGCAACAACCCCTAAACGTACAGCTCCGGCTATAACACCGTGGTTTAGATCAACGATCATTCTTGTAATCTTTGGCATAACGTGGAAACGTTGCTGTTCCAGAGTGCTTTCCTTCTGAGCCAAGGTTGAGATTTTTGAAAAGGAAAATGGGCCAAGACTTTAGTTACTGGTAGAGAAATGCCTCAGGTAAGAGGTATTTTTCTAATGTGTACCAAAAGTTAAAAAGACCACATTCAACCATTGGTCTATCAATTTTGATCACATATACTGAACTTTGTGGTTGCAACATGATGCAAAATGCAGAAAAATTTTTTGCATCATGTTGCACAAGATTATGTCACATCTATAAAATTTATGTTCTGTCTTCTACAACATTTCTTCCCTAAATCCTACATTCCTCTCTTTCTTCACTTGTTGGCTGACTTCCAAGCACTTCTCTCTTCTTTCTGTCTTCTACCCTGTCTTGGTTTCTGTACTGACCTGACTCTTTACCTCCTACCAACACATTGTCCTTGTATCGAACGCATAAAAACAGACAGGTCCCATATGTACCAAAAGAGGAGTGTTCCCCCCAGTTGGATAAGGGCGGTAAAACAGACCGATGGAGGAATGACAGGAAAGGAGATTGTTTGGCTCTGGTTCTTGAAGGAAAATCCACACAACTGTGTCTGGCCCAGCCTTTAGTGAGCTGATGCAAGGAGGCTGCAACCTGCACATTTCTGGTTTTATAAGAATCGCCCCCACACAGCCAGCTCTGACCACCTTGTTGCAAAGTTTGGGGAATTCTGTGGTGCTGATTAACTCATAGGTCATTACCAACAAACGCCCTGCCTTTTGGGAACGAGTGCTGTCCTCGAGGAGGTGTTAAAATTTTCAGGAGTGATGATGTCAAAGATTGGGGAAGTCCGTGTTTGCCCATCTACCCACCTTTATACATATATTAGATGCTGCTGTTGAACAAATACCTAAAACAGATTGGGTTGGGATCTCAACCAAGGTGCTCATTTCCCAATTTACTTATTGTAAGCCTATTTCCAACTTGGTAGCACAACTGGGTCCTCATGGCTGCACGTTTTTAGTTACTGAGCCTTAGTGCCACAACAAAAAAATGGATTCCTCAAAGTTGCTGCCGCTAACAGTTGTTCAGGTTTGGCTTCATCTGCATTAAGGAAATACCAAGATGCTTGAACGTGGTGTGTGGTTTCATACGCTTCACGTCAGATTAGAATAATTAGCAGAGCTGGGACCAAGCCATTGTTTTTGTATGTTTCAGGTCTCAAGTCTTTATCCTGAAGTCAAGTCTCAAGCAGAGACAGCCGACTGTAAGTGTCAAGTCCCAAGTCTGAAATTTCAAGTCCTCTCAATCCTTTTTTTTTCTGTCATGTTAAATGTAAATAATAGACAACATGTTCATTTATTATTATTATTATTATTTGTGTTTATCTCAAGTCGTGAGGAAATAAGTCGGAATTCTAAAATGGCATCTTTATGTTGTCTGGATAAACTTTAAGTTTCCCCAAAAAACTGTTAAAAATTCTGTGAAAAACTGTCAATATGATTTCCCATCATAAACGACTCCTCCTCTGATGGAACTGGACCCGCTTCGTCGTTACGATGGGGAACTCTGAATCCTTCTTATTGTCTTCTTTTATATAAAATGCTAAAACTGAAATCTGTTATCATTTCACAACAGCAATGCGTTTGCTATGGTGATTCCCACTTTTTCTGGGGGGAGCAGGGCAGATGGGCAGCATCGTTCCTTTCACTAGAAACACAATTAGAAGCACTGAGAAAAATTTTGGTTTTCACAAATCAGGCATCGTACAGAAACTGTAACTTACAGAAAAGTCCCAGAAAGGTAGCTTTTTATCAACGCAGGTTTTTTTACTTTGTATGACTGAAATCTGGAGCTTAGAAAAGGCAGTAAAGTTTTCTTTGTTTTGTTTTACGTTTGAAACGAAACAAAACATCCCTAATTCTGAAACAACACTGGTGGGCCGGGAACACAAGCTTGTGGAACTCCTTTCTTATGGCGAGCAAGTCTAAAAGTTGCAAATGTGTCACTCCCAAAAGAATCTGCACGTTTAACACTGTCCTCCACAGAAATGTCTTTTCACATCACAAAACTGTACGAAATCAAATAACAGAAAAACAATGCAGAATGGGAACTAAATTTTAACTGTTTTTTTTTCGACCTTTATCTTTTTTTCTTGTTACCTTTTTTTGAAAGAAATTATGGATTTTTTTTTCTTTTTTTAAAAAAAAACATCCAAGGTGAGTTTAATCTTTTAAACAAGTGCAGTGTGACCTTTAAGCAGGATTCACATGTGTGCTTATTTAAAGGGAACTGTGGAAGAGATTATACTTCATCATTGATCGAGCATTTACCTTTCAGGAGCGCCTCTGTTGCCTCTGTAGTTTGTCAGGAGACGCCGTCGACGTCTTGTCTTCGAGAACAAAAATTTAAAATGAAAAATTTAAATCAAGCCAGTTTGTGTGGCTCTCCTTGTAACATTTCCCAGCGAGCAACCAGTTGCAAACCGGTTCTCTTTAAAGATATGGAAAAAATAAAATCAAATAAAAAAAATTTAGAATTAATGTCTGCAGTGAATGAAGTGGTCAGTTTTCAGGTAGGTAACCAAAAACCTTGTCAAAGAAATAGTTTCTGTCAAAATTACACTGTCACAAAGTGGAGGAAGAAGAAGAAGAAGAAAAACGACTCAAAGGAAAGCAAACTGTCACTCAGGGTTGAGTGATGTAAGTTTGAAGTCGTCCTCAGACAATAAGGCGGAGGTTTTCCTGGAGGTGCATCGCCCAGTTGCGACGCTGGTCAACTGGAGCAGAGAGGAGCGGGGAGCGGAGGACAGGCTGTCCGAGAGGAGGAGGCCGACGGAGGGCGGAGAGGAGGAGGAGACGCGGCCCCTGCCAGCTGTTCTGACTCCGTCTGCAGTTCAGCATCCAAGCTTCGGCACGGGTTGCCTCCCTCTAGTGGTTAAAGCGCAGCACTACACCAAAAACAAACTAAACATAACTAGTTTTCTTGGTCTGTCCCCCCAATAATACATAATACTATGTATTATTATTATTAATAATAATAATAATAATTCCAAAACTACATTCATCCAGTTTCACAGAAATAATCACCTGACAGCAATCCAGGCACTTTTCACATTTATATTAGCTGGCTGTTCAGTCAAATCCACTCAGTTCTTAGATCTTTGCAACATTTTGCAGAACATACTCATGCCACTGCTTGCCAAAGGTTTCAGTGAGCTCATTATGCAGATGTGGAAATAACATGACAAGTAACATGGATGTCTGTACACATGTATGGAGATACACAAGCCGAACATTTCCCAAACACATAGCAAAGGAAACTCTAAACTGGTTTTAGAGTGAGACAAATCCCTCTCCTGGATTGGTACAGCTCAGTGGTTTCTACGTCAGCCTCAGCTTGCAACCCACCACCGTAATGGTTGCGTGCATCGCAACTTCTGCATCAATAATTGCTGATTGTGCACATACACGCATACCTATTTATACATTTGTGCTGTAACAAGGAAGTGCTGTTGGACTTCAGCTGTTCATTGAACTCCAGCTCAATTAAAAGGTTGCTCCAGCAATCTCTGTTGTCTCCTAGTAGCCTTTAGGTCACTTCAGAATCATCATCATCACTTCTTCTCCCAATTCATGTTCCAAAGTTGTGCTAAAACTAGTGCTGTCAAGCGATATGCCAGCTTAAACAGAGTTCACTTCAGTTCTGGACAGGGTCAATCCCAGCAGATCTAGGAAACTCATTTCACCCGTTACATGGAGAGCTGGTAGCACATCTCCAACTCTCAGAAGAGGAAGTAGAGAGTAGAGAGTGAAGGGGAGGGGGCTGGATGTTGCGCAACGACATGGGGAATTCTTCCTCCTGTGAATTAGCCAGAATGACAATGAGTAAGGCAATTTACTCATTGTCCAGGGACAACAGATGGAAAAATTTGCGCATTTACAGAAACGTTAATTAATGTGCATTGTCCTTTGTAAATAAATCTAATACATTGTCTCTGAAAAACTGATTGCTCATTGCAGTCTGGACTTCTTGTGGACTTGAACGCTGAACCACACGTCGGTGGACCAACACTCCCATTGACACACACTGTAGGTTGAGAAAGTCGGGTACTTTTTTGCACCTCAAGCTGGTTTTCAGCCATGCTTTATAATCCACCCAAGACTGTTTGCTGCACCATTTATAATGGTGTGTTTTACACCTTTTTCCCCATAATAGCTCTGCACACAATAGGTTGTGTTTATTGCTTTTCCAATAAACACAAGAAAAAGCAGCTCTTAGATGTAATCTGAATTTTGAATGTTAAACATCTTTTTCCCTCAGCAACTCAAGGCGCATATGTAAAACAGGAAGGAAGAGTTATTTCAGTATCGCGGTTGTTTCTGGTTTGCTTGCCTCGTTTTCTTCCGCAGTCACTCCATCTACCGTAAGAAGACCAACCGCACTTCGCAACACAACTGCTCTCTATATTGGCTGGTGAGTTGCATTTCATATTTATCATAACACTGGTTAAAGTATTTACTTTGTTTCTTTATTTTTGTTTCTTTCTGTGTTTTCTCTTACTAGATATTGAGGGAATACTTTGGCCATGCAGCTTCTAAAAGCTGGGCAGATGTTTCTGGGCTTCATCCTCTGCGTCTCAGGTCTGAAACAGAGTTTGTGTGTGGTAAGACGGAGGAGATACAAACCGATTGCTCGGGTGACATTATGTGTTGTGTGCGCGTGTCTTACAGGGGCTCTGGGAGCAGAGAGAGGCATCTGCGTCCTGAAGGGTTCATCCGTCAATCTGACTTGCTTTGCTGAAAATCCAGCCGCGCCCAACACCTGGTGCTACCTGAAGGAAAACAAAACTATGTGCGTAGTGAAAGAGATTTCTGAGATTTCTGCAAGTGTCACCTACAACATAACGGAGGACGGGACTCTAACTATCAGAGATGTAAAGAAGAGTGACGAGCACAGCTTCTGCTGCCAAGAATCCTGCAGGGAATGCAAGAACAGAACAAAGCTCCACGTCGCAGGTACAAACAAGGTCTATTTCTTTAATACAGAAGCTTATTGCAGGCTGCTTATTGCTACTGCAGTGTATTGACATATAGGTACACCTGAAATCAGATGTTTTTTTTTAAGTTTTATAAAAAGACAGAATCTTTTTCACACCACCTGATGTTAATTTAGACTAAACAAATGTTTTGAAGCAGCTATGTTGTTCAAAAAGATTTTCCTTTCTAAATCCCAGAAAGTTGAGAGATCGTTGTTCCTGAGAACTTTTAAGCTGTCCGACTTGTATTAAGCCCATTGTAGATAGAAAAAGAAAGGAAGAAATACATTTTTGCCAATTTTGATATTAATCTCAGAAATTTTCTTGGGGGAAAAAAATAACCTTTGAAATGTCTAAGTTTAAAAAAATATATAAAAATTTTAAATTGCTTGAAAACAATAATACATTTTGCTATTTACTTCAGAAATTAAAAAATAAAACTTGAAAAGTTTATAAATTTTCTATTTTTCTGAAATCATCACAATAATTTTCCTTAATTCCAAAAGTTAAAAAAAAATCCAGAGACTGAGCTACGGCATTTCCTTGTTTTTTTGTCTTGTTTCTCAAACTCAGACATTTACATGTTTTGCATTTTCTTTTAGCAGTTTTCTGGATTTTTTTGGCCAATATCTTCCGACAGATCTAGTCTAACTACGTGAGCTACGTTTTTAGGACACCTTCATCACACAAATGTTTTTATCTCTGTCAGACAAATTTTCTTTTGCACAGACATGAGAGCAACATGCTGTCATTTCAGACCTCCAGGTGAAAGTGTTTCCTGCCTCAGAGGGACAGAAAGTGACTCTGATGTGCTCAAGCAGCTGTTCTCTGACTGAAAGCCCTGCGGCCTTCATCTGGTACCAGAACGGAGAGTTCCTCTATGAGGACTGGTCCCCCTGGTACCAAGAGCTGGTCAGCAGTGATCAGGCGGTCAGATACTCCTGTGCTGTCAAAGGCTTCGAGGATCTCAGAGCTCCTGACGTCTCAGTGGGTCAGTGACACCAGAAAACGTGAAGCGACGGGTGAAATAAGTAGTAAGTTATGTGAAATGAGACAGGGAAAATGTACTGAGCACACACAACAAAGAAGGTGGAAAAAAGGCACGGAAAGCCAAGACATCAATTGAAATCGATCATCGATTTGGAGGAGTGAAAAGAATCAACAGAAGAATTGTCCAAGCGCCAAAGGCCACATGAGGAGAGTTTCAGAAAGATCTCCTCATGTTCAACGTTTCAGCAAGACTGTGATCCCAAACCCAAACTTTTTTACCCTGTTCCATTTCACATAACTTAATTTCTGTACTCATTTGTTTTGGTTTCTTTCTATGTGAGGATTGCTTTGGTTGTCACCGACACCTGCTGAAAATGTCATATCAGTATTTCCTTTAGGAATATGTTCACTATGAAAAATTGTGTCACGTTCAACCGTTGGATTATTTATTTAAGTTTGTTTGTTTGTTTTCTTTTAAACAAAACCAATGAATGCATCAAACTACAGTTGGAAAATGGCAGCATGTTCATTTCTTTACAGACTTCATCCATCCAGACTGTTTCAGTGTGACGTATTTAAATGGAGAAATGTGTCCGGAGAAACTGAAATCAGCCGAGGCGCCGTGCTCCATCACGTACCCCAGAGGTGACGATTCCTCGCAGAAACCCCCATCCAGTCTATCTAACATGTCATAAGTTTGTTTATTTCCTCCTGACAGATGTACGTGTTGAAATGCTCCCTAAAACGGATTATGTCACACTGATCTGTAAGACCAGCTGCCCCTCCGCTGACGCTCACACCGCCTTTACTTGGTACTGGAACAGAAAGGCTTTCAGGGACTGCACCAGTCAGGACATTATGTTATTTGAATCTGAGGACTATGTCTCCTGCGCTGTTAAAAACAATGAATACATGCACTCTGATGAGATCTGTAAGTACCTTTTTTTTTTTTTTTTACAGGTAAACATTTTTTGTTTTGTGCCCAGATGCTTTCTGGATGTAGATAGAAAAAAGAGAAAAGGAAGAGTACATTTCAGCCAAAAAAAAAAAATTCAGAAGTTTTGAGATTTATCTAAAAAATTTTCAACACAATTTTGGAAATGTCTGAGCTCCAAAAGTCAAGGAATACATTTTCTAGAAATTAATATTTGGATTTCTGAAAAGTCAAAAATTTGAAAAAAAAAAAAAAAAGACAAATCTCAGAAATGTTGAAGAAAAAACTTGGAAATTTCTGCATTTGAAAAGTGGTGAAATTGCTAGAAAAACATCAAAAATTTCAAGAATAATCTCAAAATTTAAAAAAAATTAAAATATCGGAAATTTCCAAACTCCAAACATTGACAATTTGTGAGTAAAAAAAAACAACTGAATTTTTTAAATAGATCTTAGAAATTTTCTGGGAAAAAAAACGTAGAAGATTTCTGAGTTTCAAAAATTGAAAGTTCAGATTTTTTTTTTCTTGCCAAATTGTCAACATTTGGCACTCAGGTTCTCAAGAAGTTGTGGAAGTTTTAAAAAATGTTTAACTTTTGAAAATCAGATGGGGGGAGCTGAAATTTTTCTAGAAAATCAATGACATTTTTTTCTGGAAAAGTTTTTCCTACAAAATGTCTGAGATTGATCTAACAACTATAGTTTTTTTTACTCGCAGACTGTTGGCTTTTGGAACTCAAAAATTTCCTTGATTGTTTATGTTTTTCCTGTCGACAACGGCCCTAATTCATAGTCGTAGTGATCACTTTTCACTGAGCATTCTGATTTCCTTCTTCAGGCACAAACTCCGCTACTGTGAATTATGTCAGCAGGAGCTTGTGCGTGCTGGAAGGAGCTGCTGTAAACATTTCCAGCAAATACACAAAGAGCCACTCAAGTCATCCAACCTTGCTTTCGTGGTATAAACTAAAGCGAGACATGAATGAGGAGATCGACGTCACCATAATGGAAGCAGGAGGTCGGCTGGAGCACCACAACATTGATCATTATGAACACACGCTCACAATCAACAACCTGATGAAGAATGACTCTGGTGAATACATGTTCACTCTCAATAAGTATCTCATAAGTGAGCAGCCTGACCTGCTGGGAGCCATCCTGGTGGTCACAGGTAGTATTTGTTTTTCTCCTAATTTTCTTCATTTATTTATGTATTTCTTTATTTTAGATTTAGATCGTATTTAATTTTTATGTAATTTCCCACTTGTGTTATGAATGTTAAAGGTAACATTTACATTTACTGATATTTAACACTGTATAGGAGTATATTCACATCAAATAATCACTTTCCTCAAATAATCAATCAGTCAAATAGAGAAATTACACTGACAAACAAAATCCTGTAGGGTTTTGTTTAACATTTGAAAACCTCCCCATCATTTTCCTTCAACTTCAAGGCCTCGTTCCACATTGTGTTGGTCTATCAATGGAGAACTTCATGGAGCCGAATTGGGCCCATAAAGTTTGTTCAAAAAAAAAATTTAATTAAGTGAAAAAATAAAAAAATCTGAAACAGAACCTTGAATCCGAAAAGACGTTTTGAACATTTTTTTTCAGTCTCGCATCCTATTTTTTCAGTTCTTTTTTTTCAGTTTCAATTTTCTTCTTTTTTTTTTGAACAAACTTCACGGCCCCAGTTCAGCTCCCGTTAAACTCCTGACGTTTAACGGAGGAGTTTAAACGTCAGGAGTTTAAACATCAGGAGTTTAAACTGACGTTGGCATTTTGTCACGTTCGTGGTTGTAATGTGACAAAGTAGGAGTGCACGACATATAGGCACCAACATCGATATCTGCCAATATCAGTCATTTTTTTGAACATATCAATATCGGTCCAATCAATGAAACTGGGCCGATACAAACATCCGATATTTATTTTTATCCGTCTCTGGTTGATTTTTTTTCCCCCAAAGGTGTTGAAACAATACTGAAATGGTAAATATCAGTTATTGACCATATTAGAAATATTAATATCAGATATGAAATATCAGATATTGACATTGACCAAAATTTTCTTGTAGGTGCATCCTTAATGTAAGGGATATGAAATATTACAAAACACCTCCCTGCCAAACTTACATGCTTTTGCTTTTTGACCGTTTCTCATTAATCTGCCGTGTCTCGACGTGTTTCAGGTCTGAAGGTGACCATGACTCCCTCTGACATGGTGACAAAAGGTCAGAGAGTCACGCTGACCTGCAGTACCAGCTGCCCTCTGAGTGAGGAGACAACCTACATGTGGTTCTTCAATGAGGAACCTCTGAGCCTCACTGGGGGCCACAACAAGCAAGTTGTTCTGAACCCAGTCAGACGTCACCATGCGGGGAACTACTCGTGCGCTGTGATCAGAAGCCCCCAGAACATCAGCTCGACCGTGAAGCTTCTTACTGTCAGAGGTAATTCAACGATTGGCCGTGTGAAAGTATACTCCGTACAAATGACGAATCCATTAAACCAAGTGAATCAAGCAGTTTGTACTCGTCTTTTCCGTAGACGGAGATAAAACTGCGACAGCAGCAATGAATATAACAAAAATTGTTTTCCTGTTGCTGCTTCCTCTTGTTGGATGTAAGCTGTACCTGATGCTGAGGTAGAACACCTTCAATTATTCCACGTAACGACGCCTGCTCGCCATTACATTAACACATTCAACTTTTATTTTTATGAACGAAGAAAAAGAAAAACTGCAACTCGCAGAGTCAAGGCGAGTGAAAACGTGGCAACCGAAGAGGTGAGGACAAGCTCTCAAAGTGAAGTGGCTGTTTTTGTGTCTTTCTCTCGGCCAAGTGTTTTGTTTTTTCTCACAGGTGACGTCACAATACGAGTCGCTCCCGCTTACGGACAGAAACGCTCGTGCTGCAGGAGGACTGGAAGACAGGCAGCAGGACATTGTGTAACGACTTGACTTGATGGGCTGCGGTATTCGACATAAGCCCTGAAAGTCATGGACAGAGTTCATGGGGGAAAAAAAGCAACTTTAGGTACCAAAGATAAAGCCTTTTCCGTTGATATCGCTTCTTGCTCATGGGTTGGATGTAACTTCTTTATCTGCTGATAAAGAAGTCACAAAGTTCAAATGGCGATGTCCAGATCAAGAAAGATGATCATAACCTTTCATGAAACAGGATTCTGCGAACTAAGTAGTAGAAATAACACCACATTTACTAAGGCTTGGCAAACCCTCTGTTAAAATATCTAAACAGTTGAGATTTAAATAATGGAGACAATGTTATCTCCTGCCATTTAATGTGGCATTTCACTAAAGAAAAACAAACATGTTAGAAGATAAGGATTAAGAAAAATGAAAAACACACAACGGCCTGATTAAGTACAAATACATGTTGGAAGCACCTTTTGTGTCTGTTTTAGCCTTTACTTTGCTTTGGCAGAGTTCGCTTTGCATCTTGACTTTGTCGTCTCTCTCTAATCTAGCTGTCAAGCTTCCTCCATCTGAAAAAGAGTAACATGACATCCTGTTCCTACCAGGCATGCAGTGCCTTTGCTGATGCTTCGTGTCGTTTCTGTGTACAAACTTAACTTTTGGTCAAAACGCTTCCAGTTTGGTTTCTCCAGACCGCAGAACATTCTTTACCAACCTTTTTAGAAGACTTCAGCTGAGTTTTTTTTGCTAGAAAATATTCCTGACGTCGAAGCCTTTTGCTCAGTCCAGACATGCAGAGCAGATAGTTTTCACATGTGGAAATCAACCAGAGCTTGTTGGAAATTGCTGCAGCTACTTTAGCCGCTTAGCGTGACAGTCGATGTTTGATGTTTTTATCAATTCAGGGGAAAAAAAAAAAAAGAAAACGCCCAGTGTTTTTTTAAAAACAAAAACGATTTTCTCCAGTTATTGTTGATTGTCTTTACTGTAACATAGTGGATTGTTTTGTATTCTTCTCCTGACTGATACTTTAGCATCTCCATGGCTGCATCAACAGGTGGCAAATATGAAAATGTAAGGAACGTCCCATTAGGACAACTGAGCCTTATTTCAGATATAATCGATATAATTGATGAAAGTTCAATGAGACTCAGAACTCTTGAGTTTCAACAGGATTGTGTATGCTGATGAACGCCAAAAGTATATTTCTTGTTAAATTGTCCTTTAAATAATTATGTTTGTTCTTTGTTTTCAAATAGTAGCCTGATTGATGTCAGCAGATATTTAACCTAGAACCATTTTCAACCATTTTGTAAGCAGTTCATTGTAAGCATTCATTTAATTTGCCTTTGGGATCAATAAAGTAATTTTGAGTTTCAATTTAATCTGCCAGTGTTCCTTCTCTGCTTACAGCATGCATCTTGTGCAATATTTGTATTTATGTGCGCTGCATTTGAATCACTCAGCAACAATCAACGATTCATCTGTGGCTCTGATAACCGTGGTTTGGTTAAATTCGATAGTTTGCAAAACTGATTAATGTGGCGTGAGTTCAGACAACATTATTCAATTATTTCATAAAGTTTATTTGAATTTCAAAATGCTTAAGAGTATTTGTAATCATGGTTGCCTTACCAAAGCCAATTTCTTGCATAGACATTTTTTTTTTATTATTATTTATAATAATATCTACAACAAATTACATAAACATCAACTAAAAGAATGTCAAAGCTTAAAGGAAGGCAAAAGGGCAAAAATTACAAACAGGAAAATATTAAATACAGCAAATTATGGCTGATTACATGAGAAATTTTTCACAAATGGAAGTTGTCTTTAACGCTTTAGTATTGGTACACTACATCAGACAATACAAATATGAAAAGGCATTCAATTTGGGTTTCAACTTAAGACATTGTCAGCTGTGGATATTAAATTGTGCTAAAATTGATATTAAGTTTATAACAAATACTTAATTTTTTGGAGTGTTTAAACAGAAAGAGCCACATAATATAGTTTCAAAGTTAAACGCTGGGTCTATTTCCAATTTTCTTTTTAGGAGTGAAAAAAAATATCTCCAGTGCCTGGAGCACCTAGAGAAAACCCACAGAGCACGGGGAGACCATGCAAACCCCACATAGCAAAGATCTGACACATCCTCTCTGTGAGCTGCAGAGCTCAACCACTGCATCACCACGCTGCCCACTTCTATCTTAACATTTGGATGTTTTATTAAGTTGGGTCAGGAGGGGACCGGTTTTCTAGTTGGTTAATGGGGCCAGGGCAGTTTTGGGAGGAACTTTCCTTTTTAAATGTTCTCGATGGTGGAAGCGAGCTCCCCGACTCAGAGGCCACAGACCAACATAAGTTTGGTTCCTTTGTTCCATGTCTTCCTCCTTCTCTAAACACTTTTTGCTTCCTACTTTGTTCTTTTGCCGTCGTTCGTTTTCAGGGAACATTTTTCCAATTGGCCGAATTAGACACGTTCTTGACTTTCTTTCACTCTTTTGTTTCTTTTCTCGGTTTCTTCAAACGCAGAGCCCCTTCGTACCTTTTTCCAAATCGACAGCTTCAATTTTTTTTTTCTTTCCGTCCCGCGTGGATTCATCGTCTGGATTGTCCGATCTCTCTGGGATGGTTTCTCCTTCCAGCTCCGTCCTTTCCGTGGACACCAAATCCGTGGAACTACCCGAAATCTCTTGGCCTAAAACTTAGACCTGGTCTGGCTCTTCCTCCGTCTCTTGCAACACTGAGATCTTTGCTGGAGATCTTCCTCCTCAGTTCTCAGAGTGTTGGCAGGGTGCAGATCCTCATTTGCTCTTTCCAAATGAACACTTTTCTCACAACTCGTCTGCTGTTGGTATTTTTCTGCTTGTTCTTCAGGTGCAGCAGTCATCGGTTTGGTACCTGCAGTTTAACTCCTGGTATAAAGCTTTAATGCTCTCCAGCTCAACATGTGCACCCCTTTCCTTGTAGTGCAGCAGTTTGATCTCTTTACTCATATTTTCTCGGAGGGCGACATTCATAGCTCTGGCGTCATAGAGAAGCGCCATGTCCTCCTATGACTTGTCCAGATGAGCTTTTTTCTCCTGAGTGATCTGCAGCTGAAGTCATTACGCCTGTTGCCGCAGAGAAGATTGCCAACCCACTGAACTTCTCCTGCTGGCATCTTGACCTCTTGACATTTCCTCAAACAGACGATCCTCTTGGTGTGACCTTATGGACTCAGTTGTTTGAATAAAATTCTGGGTGATTGTGAAGTTGAACAGTGACTGTTGTCTTTAATGGTTTAAATCTGGGGAGACCAGATGACAACGAGCAACAGGCAGTAAAGATCTCGTTTCTGATGCATGTATGATGCACACTTCTTGTTGAACAGCACTTTGAACAAAATATTACTCATAAAACGTTCGCGCCACCTAGTGGCGAACTACGTATACAGTCTTTAGGGCATTTTTTATTCTTGCAGTCTCTTGCATAGAAGTTGGCTTTGCGCAGTCTTTGTGTAAGCAAGCGTTTAGGCACCCCTCAACGGTTGCCATGGGAGATTCAAGGATTCCTCAAAATAGCATAAAATACACAAAGAAGTCCTCCAGGTATGTTTTTGATGAGGGAATAACAGTATCACTTTTTTTTTTTTAAATAACCCGTCGACTTTACATTACATAACATCCCTCTTTGGGCCTGGTTGGTCACGTGGTTGGATTCATATCCGGTTCTGTGTGCAGGAGCCGCTCCGTTCAGTTTTCTCCATCCTGTCGCAGAGCGTCGACCTGCTCAGTTTGCCGTTGGTTTCAACTGCGCTTTACAAGCGGTGGACTAAAATTACCATGGACAACAGAGGTTACGGCTCTGGTAAATATCCACAATTTTTTTAGTACTTTTGTTCTTAAAACAAAACAAACACACACACACACACACAAAAAAAATAACTAGCTCTCTGCGTTACCTAATAGAAAGCGGCTACGTGGTGCTAGCTGTGCTCGTGCACGTTTGTAGCTTCCCGGCTAAGCTAGCCAGGCCCGCTAGCTGTAGCTTTAAACAAAGAATTTAAACATTGCTAACGGACGTTGTTTTGGCGTTCTGTTGTCCACAGTTAACTTGGCGGTTTTAAGCCTGACTAACGACATGCTGTTAGCTCTAGCATAATAGGCCTTTTCGCTAGCATGAACGTGACATGCTGGTTAGTGATCATGGTTCTGCTTTGCTGCTATGTTTTGTTTTTGTTTTTTAGCTGTGAGGAATATAGTGGTGCTATCTGATAATTAAAGTGTTCAATATTTAGAACTGGACCTAGCATTTAGAAAGCATAAGTTTAAACACTGATTGTTAAAATGGCCGCCTCAGTGCACAAGGGAAATTTAAATGTATTGTCTGGTCAAAAATAACTTGTTAGGTTTTTTGTGTTGGTCACGTATTGGTCCAGCATTTGAGGACAGTTGTTATGAAATTGGATATTTTTATTTACTTTCCTTCCTTTTTGTGCAATAATATTTTACACACCAGTCTTAAGTTAACAAAGGTATGTGTATTTTGTTGGTTTCCTCATACTTGTGCATTTTCTTTCTTTCTGTTTTTGCAGGTTATTCCAGTTGGGGAGGTGGAAGCTCAGGAAACAGAGGTGAGGAAGTTAATAATCAAGTAAACCTTACTAGCAGACTGAAGTACATTGTTACACATTCTCATTGCTTAAGCACATTTAATGCACAACTAATGCAGGCTACAGTGCGTGTATGGCGAGCACAGTTGGGCAGTAGAGTGTTGTATGATATGCTCCAAACAAATTCACATTTACCGGAACTGAAGAGAAGCTGAACTGATGTACAGTGATGTTTTGCATAACAAATAACTCACAACATGCTTGTTTGTGTCATTATCAGCTCTCGTTTGATTAGGGGTAAATCAACTGAGGTGTTTCATCTTGTTACAAAGCTCAAGAACACGGTTTGATGCTTTAAGCACAAGAAAAATAAGCACTGTGGCTGGACAAGAACAGTTGTTTAGCAAAGTTAAACAATTATTAAAGGGGCAGCATTATGTAAAATCAACTTTTTGAGCTTTACATCATGTTAAAGCTCAAACATGAGCTTTAACACATGTTTGATCAAAAACATACCTGGAGCGTTCCTTTGATTCTTTGATGCATGATTGAGAAATCCTTAAGCCGGGGTAAGCGCTTCCCACCTGGGTGGACCTAGCCCCGCCTCCGAAAACAAAGCTCCTCCTCTGAGCTGCAATTTACAAGCTGAGCTTCTGCACTGCAGAGCACCTCTCTCTCTCTCCCCCCTTCTCTGTCACGCGTGCAACTCCCTCACTCAGCTCCTTCAGACTAGCCAGCAGCAATGAGCAAAATTAGCTCTTCATATGAGCTACTTCTCAGCATAATGCTGCTAAAAGTGATGTTAAAGGCTTAATAGTGGAGCCATGTTGTGATGACTTCATGAAGTCAGAGTTTCTTAAAGAGACGGAGGCCTAATTGCAAGGCGCTAAATTACAAGGTCAAATTTGATTTGTGCAGCATTTTTATATAAACTGAAGTTAACATAGTTACTTGATAGTGCTATGTTGTAGCACAATGTGCCTGGGAAATGCATCACACTGCCTCTTTAAAATCAAATTATAAAGGGATGTTGGAGCAGGGATGATTCTTGTTTTTGTTTCCTTTCACTTTTGAAGGTTCTGGTGGTTTTGACATGTATGGAGGAGGAGCAGGAGGAAGTTATAAAGACTCTGGAACTGGTGGATACGGAGGTGGAGGCGGCGGCGGCGGCAGCCATATGAAGCGGGGGCCCTCAGGGGGATCTATGCTCTCATCCTCTGGCACGCATGCAGATGCTGTCATTGCCAAGATTAACCAGCGCCTGGACATGCTGACACAGTTAGAAGGGGGGTTCAGGGGGCCTCGAGGAGACAGGTAACATTGTTTTTCTTTTTAGTTAATTTATTTTAGGTTAAATACCACAGTATATATTGTGATGCACACCATAGGAATGGTTTGAAGGATACCTACTTATGAGATCATCTTGATAAATTAGAATTTATTTCCATCATTCAATTAAACTCAGTATTTTGATTACACACATAAGGTAAGCTTTAGTTTCTTTGAATAAAAAAAAGTTATTTATCCCAAAGACAAATAAAATGTTGATATAACTCATTAAAACAAAAATTCTTCAAAGTTATTGTTAAATTAATCAAAAGCTAAATTTTTCACTAAATTAAGAACCAAAAATCTGACCAGTAAATAGGTGTTATTACAAAAATGCTGTATTATGAGTTTTACAATCATGGGGATAGTTTGCTAATTTATTTAAGATATGTCCAGTTGACGGCCATTGATATTCTCCACAG